TATAACACACAAAATGTGTTAATAGACTGTTATCAATAAGGGATCCAATCAACAGTAGGCTATTAGTTCATTTGGGTGAATCAGAAGTTATACACAAATTTTCAACTGCATGCAGGGGATGGGGTGTGTCAGTACTCCTAATCCCCGTGTTGTTCAAGGGTCAACTGTATAAATAAGTCAAGATGACCAGATCAAAGACGACAGAGTAATGAGGCCTATGGGCAACCTACAGAACACATTCCCATCTAAAGAAGGTAGCCACTGCTTTCTATCAGCGTGACTCTTGCTGTCACAAGATGTGGACCCAGTACCCAGTCATGCCAGAAGACTTTTCAAAAGAAGCTGAAAATCCAGACTTTGTGACATGCTTTTATTTTTAAATCTTAGTGCATAAAATAAAAAATTTAAAGGACACTGATGCCTACTAAAACATATGTGGGGCCACATTTAGATTGGCAAAATGAATGATCCTGAGAGTATGCTGAGAGGCATACAATGTCAGTGCATTAGCATGTCTAAACAGACAGGATGCATCTAACTCTAGGAAGAAATTTTCCCATAGGCACCCTTGAAATCTACATAATAACATTACATAAGCACTCAAAAATTACTTGCCAAAGAAAAAGAAGGGAAGGAAAGAAGAGTGTCCAGTAAGAAAGTCTTAATCAGTAGTCTCCATCTTCTGCTGACCTAGACTCTAGACACAACTCTAGAGCATTACTTACTGCTACAATAGTACTCCCATAACATTTCAAGCAGAAAGGAACAATTAACAACTAAATGAGAATGAAGAAAATTTTATACAACAGAGGAGCTGGTGGGTTACTAATATACGCATTCCTGCTTAAGAATATAACTTTGTAGGGGCGCCAGGGTGGCTCAGTCAGCTAGTGTCTGACTCTTGATTTCAGCTCTGGTCATGATCACAAAGTTCATGAGTTCAAGCCGCACATGGGGCTCTGTGCTGACAGTGGGGACCTGCTTGGGATTCTCCCTCTCTCTCTCCCTTCCTCTCAGCCCCTCCCCCATTGGCACTGTCTCTGTCTCAAAATGAAAAAACTTAAAAAAATATATATGTAACTATCTTTGGAGAGATTATGATTTTGGGTTCTTCTAAATAATCAAAGTTGATAGTGATATTACATCTCTGTGTAGATACTGAACATCCATCTCCGTTCACTATCAGGAAAATGGTTCCCAAAAAAGGCTTAAAATATTAAAAAAATTACAATGTCTGTTGGAGTCCATTCAAACAACAATCTTAAAGGAAAGCTTTGGATTTGCACAATTTCAGAGTGCAAAATGTTTCCTCAAAAATGAAGACAGCAAGGTAATTTAGAGTGATATTCAATAATAACTAAGAAAATAATAAAGAATAAATAGGGAACTGAGTATGTGACCTTCCTACCTAAACATTAACAAGTTAGACTGGAAGGCTAAAATGAAATAGTTCTCAATTACCAATCCTCACAAATAAAAACAGTGAACTGTGAACCTATCTTCTTATTCCCTCTCCAGTGGAACCACAGATGAGTTCTTTACTACTACACCACAAAGAACGATCTTCATCATTTCCTCTTATTTTCTATATAATGAAAAGCACTGTCAAGTGGCACTTTCCTAGTCTAAGATGGCTCCTTTCAAAAAAGGAACCCATGTAAATATTCTCAACCCAATGGTTTCTACTCCTAACCCAAAACTACTAAGACAGATTCACTTAACTAATCTTATGCAACTCTAGCTCTTCTCAGTATTCTCAACAGGAGGGAGGAAAGGGGCAAAAAGGTCTGGAAATGAGTACATATTCTTGTCTCCCAATTTACATATTCATATATTAAAAATGATGAGATTCCTATACCACAGAATGTTTAATCTAGTATTTCTTAAACATTATACAACCCAACTAACACATTTTGGGGAAAATCTCCCAACTTGGAAAAGTCCTTTAGCAATTCCAACATCCATGTCTTTTTTTTTTTCTTTCATAGTTTGTCAAGTTGGTTTCCATGTAACACCCAATGTTCATCCCAGCAAGTGTCCTCCTCTATGCCCATCACCCCCTCTCCCCTCTCCCCCACCCGATCAGCCCTCAGTTTGTTCTCAGTATTCAAGAGTCTCTCATGGTTTGCCTCCCACCCTCTCCTCAACTATTCTTCGCCTTCTCCTCCCCCATGATCCGCCATTCAGTTTCTCCTAATCCACCTATAAGTGAAAACATATGGTGTATGTCTTTCTCTGCCTGACTTACTTCGCTCAGCATAACACCTTCAAGTTCCATCCACCCAACATCCATGTCTTATGCCTGTTTTTCTTGGCCTGACTCAACTATACAAACTTGTAACTTTAAATATACCTGGGCTTCTATTCCTATAATGAACTTCTCTAAATTACTCTCTTCATAAAATATTAACAAATATTAATATGTGCCAGAGCCGTAATTTTTATAAATATCAGTATTTTATGATTCTTATGAAATTTTATTGTTCAAACACATACTCCTTTCTCTGTAACAAATGAAGACAAAAAAAAAATCAACTGCATAAAAATTTTCTAGCCATCTGATAACGTGGTTAATTTAGTCTTATATCTAATATATATAGTGTCTTGAATTTAAAAGATATGCAGACCAATCCTAATGTAGATTGGTCTTAATTTTAGTAGATCAACTAAATGTGTCAAAACCCTGAAAAAGAGAGGTAGCTAAAATGAGCTCATATGTAAACTAGAAAGGAAGTCATACCTGTGCAACAAACCCTTTAACATACATTTAACTGCTTTGTGTATCTGGGTGGATATCCCAAGAGAAATCTTCTTAACTGGAGAATAAGAAAGTTGGTCAAACTCACAAGCTCATAATTCCGAAAGAAATAAGACAAGGAAAAAACATTACATTGGAAGCATAAGACTGAGATTCAAGTAAAAGGAACAATTATCAGAGCAACTTCAGAACTTTCAAGTTCAAACCTCTCCATGTATTCTGTAACAACTGCTAAAATAAATCAAGTCACAAACAGTACAGAGATTCAATGGGGTATTAAATTATGAAAAGTACTAGCAATTTGACCATTTTTGGTATTTTTATTGCATTCCTACACAATGTCTTTATGTGATTTTTTTCTGTAAAAACGAACGCCATAAATTTGTTTAAATTCGCGTCTCTTTTAAGTATATATAGAAGCAAAGCCTAATGAGAAAGCAGAGCTCTAACATTCTCAGACTGTTTAATTAAGAAGCTATCCTTGGATTTCAGAAAAACTGTTCTATAAAGAACATCACTATAAAAACTATCATTGATTTTACTATGTCCACAGAAGCTCAGTAATGAAACCAATTGTCTCAGAGACAAAAAGTTAAAACAATGACAACCACCACAAAAAACTTACCCTGATGTTTACCTAAGGATAACAACTGCAGTTCACAATAATTCAATTAGGGAATGACCATTCCCAAGAAAATCTCAATAAATGAATCTTTTAAAAATTTAAGTTAAGGGGTGCCTGAGTAGCTCAGTTGGTTGAGTGTCTGACTCTTGATCTCAGCTCAGGTCATAAACTTAGGGTGTGCGAGTTCAGGCCCTGCATCAGCACAAAGCCTACTTGGGATTCTGTCTCCCCTTCTCCCTGCCCCCTCACCTGCTTGTGCTCTCACTTTCTCTCAAGATAAACTTAAAAAAAAAATTTTTTTTTTTTAGGCAACATTTTATAGCCATGAGCTACATTTTGAAGTCAGGAAGAACTAGGCAGATCTTGTAAGATGACTGTATCTACTCTTTTACCACCTTCACCTCATTCATTAGGCCATGGAGACACTAGCCTTCATGCTGTTGCTCTAGTGGGCCTCAATCTTGACCCTTGAGCTGTCTTTCAAAGAATGCTTTTCTGCAAGATCTCTGCTCAACAGTCACCTACTCAGAGAGGCCTCTCTGACTACTCTCTCTACAGAAGCCCTGTCTAATTCACAGTTACAGTCCCAACAACTAGAACAGGGTCTGACACAAGTGCTCGATAAGTACTTGTTAAATGAATCAATGAGCTCACATACAATTTCAATAATACAAAAACAAATCTGATAACAACTAAAAAACAAATATATTAGCATAATCTCTAATACTCAATTCCAATTTGAAGTCCAGAAAAAAAACAAAAGAAAAAAGAAAGGTCAACTTTTAATATCACATTCTTCACATTTATTTGCTATCTGCTCTGGAAAAGCATGACAATATATATCTTAATTCTGAGAAATCACAGCAAATATATATGATGATTCCATGTCATACTGAGTCCTCAAAGATCTGATGATTTGTAAACAAAGACAAAGTACATTTGGTATTAGCTTTAAAATATACAGGTACTCTAATATATGTATACATACACACACACAGTATTTTAAAGTATAATAATCTATAATATAAATATGCAAAATCAGGTTAACAGAATTCCTGGTCTACATCATCAAATCCTATCACTGACTAAATAAAAATTAAGTGTTAAATACAACCTAGTCAGAACACCCAAGAATAACCATTTTTAGGGGGTTAAAAAAATATAAAAGAAAGTCTGCTAAAGGTGAGCCAAAGGTTTATAATTGTGTACACCTAAGACCCTGGTCCTGACAAGTACACATTTTGTAAGTATTACATCAACCATTATTACAGTGTCTCCTTAAAGAGCAAAAGGCATTAAGTTTTAAAAAACAGAAGATATTATGGAAAACAACTCTCCCAAATTGGACCTTGTAACTCCTCACTGACATTAAACACTCTAACCAGGTAGCATCCATCCTACTTGCAAGTTAATCAAAACAGCTTTTATTTATACACACTACTCAGTTAAACCAAAAAGAGGATATCCGCAAATCACCATACAGATCTATCAGTACAATTAGTCATTAAAGATAAATGCTTGAAATAAAAAATAATGGAGAACAAAGATTTTCTTCAACATCTGCTACTCACATAAAATGCCTGGAACAAAAGAACCTCTGTAGTCAAAGCGACTTACCGTTACAGATTTCAGCGTCATACCATGGTAGGTACCCATAGTGTCAATTTTGAAGCCTTCCGTTTCTATAAAGAAAGAGGGTTTGTGATTAGACGTTATTTATTTCGTGATCAATTTCATGATCAGTTTACTATAGTAAATCTATAGTAATCATCTGAATTATAATCTGAAAGTTAAACAGTGTAACAAAACATCCAACTTACTAGACATATAAAGTTAAGTTACATACCTTGAAGATAAAAACTTTATAAGGGATACTAAGTCTCAAAAATATATTCAATACACACCAGCCAGCCCTTTGTGTAGAAGCAGCTGGTTAAGACTATTTACAACTGTGTTCAATAGTCATATAGTTGGCTGGGAATATCAAAAATTAGACTGAATAAAATAGTTTATAACCTCCAAATTATATACCCTAATACTCAATTACAGTAGCACTAAAAACTTATAGTATCATGAGAAGGCCTTAAATTATAAAAAGTTTCAATATTACAATCATATGCATATGTTACATAATTTGTAGAAAAACAATGCCATAAATAGTGATAAAGGTTCCAGGACAGAGTCTCAATATATCTTTCTATACAAAGTTATACATTAAATATTTTACATATTGCAAGCTATATGTCTTATCACAAAACTACTAAATTTTGCAGTTATAGTACAAAAGCAAGATCAACAATATATGTAAACAAATGGGCACAGCCTGATATGGCCCAAAAAGGATCAAATTTGGTCTGTGGGTTGTAATTTGCCAAACCCTACTTTACATAATCATTCCTCAAGAAAAACACTGCAGTGAATAAAAGAATGAACCACTGTATTTCTACAGCATGTATTCACAGTACATGCCCATATGTAAATGAAGTTAGCACACAAAATTCACTATATAGAAGGAATATATCCTTTACTAAAACTTAAGTGGAAATTTCAGATTTTACAGAGAAAAATCATGAATGTTAAACTTACAGTTGCTTCTATCTCATTTTTCTCCCCCACAAATTAAATCAAGATAAATGAAGGTCTCAAATGAAATTACAATGACATTAGTGCCACTTCACTAACCACCACACTAATACAGAAATGGTTCACTACTGCATTAGCCAGTATACCATGTAGACTATAACAAAGTAAGTCCTTATATAGTTACTACAATCTATGCTTTCCAAGTTTGCAATGTATACATTTACAATTTGAGAAGTATGATTTGATATATAGAACCTGCAATCTAAACTTTGAAAAGCAGAATATTAATAACAGCAAATATTTATAGACAGTTTATTATATACCAGTCCCTATTCTAGGGACTTTATTAACCAGTTCAATCCCCACAATAATGCTAAGAGATAGACATTACTACTATTAGTATTGCAATGTAACACAAGAAGAAACTGAAACAAGAATGCAGTTAATTTATCAAAATTCACACAAAAGGTTAACTGTGATACAGGCGATCTGGATCCAGAATCCAGGCTGTTAACCAGGGGTTGGCAAATTTATTCTGTACAAGACCAGATAGTATTTTAAGGCTCTGCAAGCCACACAATCTCTGTCACAACTCAACATTTCTGTCAGCACCAAGGAATCCTATATAATACATAAATAAATGTCACCCTGTTTTAGCAAAAGTTTATTTATTTATAATCATATATGTTGGGCCAGATTTGGCCTGCAGATATTTGCCAACACCTGCTCGTAAACATCAGGCCACACTACCTAACCAAGTCATCACCACCACAGTGAGGCAGATATAAAAATGAAGTTAACTTGCCTTCTTTTCCTTTGAATCTTTCCTGGTCATATCTGTTGTAGGCAGCTGGGATAGGCTGTTTGGTACGCAATGTGGGATCCTGTAGAAAAATTGGGAGTTATAGGTTAAGATTATAACTTTCTACTTAAAACTCAGAATAAAAACTACAACAAGTATATTATCTTCTAAGCTTTTCTTTCTTACAAACAGCCAATAAGACAAAAGTGAGGAGTCATATGAATCTTATTTTCAAGACAATGTTTACTGCTAAATAATTACCATTCCTCTAAGGGACAAGAACAAAGGACTCCAAGTAAACTTGTATCAAGACAAAATGCAACACTCTTAGGAACTGTAGAAAGAAAATAGGTGTGCTTAACATTGTGATTACTTTAATTTCTTTATGAAATAATAAATTTTCTCCAATTATGAATCGTTTTTAACAAAAAAATTTAATTCAAAGTTTACTGAACTGACATTTTAGAAACTTTTAACTAAATTATTTTCCAAACTGTTAATCCTTAAAAAAATATGACAACTATGACAATAAACCCATATAAATGTACAAGATGAGAGTGAAGTGAAGGTGTTATTTTGTTAAAATACTTAGAATAAGTTGCCAGTCTAATGATATAAACTTAATTCACAACTACTTTATCTAAAATTCACAGTCCATAATAACCTAAAACAAGGTTATTTTTTAAATAAGTATTAAAAAAAAGCATATTTAAGGAATATTCCCAAAATATTCCCCAAATCCATGGTATTCCAAAAGACTAAAATACTCCTAATTTTGTTACAATAGGATACTACCCTACGTATTAATCCAGATAAAAGACAGTTCATTCAAGATTATCACTAAGTATATACTTCTGTAGTTAAATGCCAGAATTAAAATTTGTATATATCTTAATGATTATGGAAATACAGAGAAAACTCAAGCACAAGGATTAACTGTTTTAAGATCTGACCTAAGTTTCCTACCAATTGCCATTCAAAACATTAACCAATTCATAATTATAAGCACCATGTGTTTTATCACCCTAACAGTTGTTTCACAAGAATTTTTACTCATCTGTTTGTTCTACTAGACTTTAAGCTCAAAGAGGGCAGCTGTCACTTCTATTTTTGTTAGCACACTGCCTGACAGACAGTAGGCATTTAAGTACTTGCTGGGAAGTCAACTCAAAGTAGTAACCTAAATACCCACAAAAGTCCAGTACCTCTAAAGAATTAAATACCAATGATTTCATGAACAAGCAAAACTGCTAGATCTTGCTAAGGCTGTATTAGTGCTTTCAAATTTTAATATATTTTTAAAAACTATATAAAATGAAAACAATTTTATTTGTATTTTTGATCTTTTGTTGAATCATACGATTAGCTCAAAGGATTATCAACAAAACCGAAGGGCACGTTTGAGTTTAAATACAGGCTATAGGTCATTCGTGATATTTACTTTGGAAGAATCCTAAGTGGCAACTCAATGAGTGACACAGTCAACCCCCCAAATGGCTAAAACTAAAGTACAATGAAAGAACCAAATGATTTGTGATCAGGAGAAACATAATATATGCACCAAGAAGTCAGATATGAATGATTTCAGAAAAAGCTCCCCGAGTGGACTGTTAATAGGGATTTGTATCTCTAACAATGCTAATGACTCTCCCAAGAAACAATAAATAAGCACATTACTTTCTACAACTAATTTACCCCTTTCAGATTCTAACCTAAGTATGTCTCCAGTTAAGAATTATTGCTGAACTTTTTTTTTTGTTTTGGTTGCTTGGGGTTTTTTAAAATTACTGTTGTTGGTTTATCTTTTGACCCCCTTTATCTATTGTCACACTCCCACCCACCCCCACCTCTAGCAACTACCAGTTTGTCCCCTGTATTTATAAACTTGTTTTGTTTTCGGATTCCACATATATAAAAGAGAGAATAAGGTATTTGTCTCTCTCTAACTTATCTTGCTTAAACATAACACCCTCTAGACCAATCTATGCTGTCACAAAGGTCAAAGTTACATTTTATTTTATGCTAAAAAATATTCCATTGTTTGTATATAACACAATTTCTTTACCCATTTATCCACTGAGGATCGCTTAGGTTGTTTCATATCTTGGCTTTAGTATATAATGCTTCAATGAAAATGAAAATGTATATATTTTTTCATGTTAGTGTTTTCATTTTCTTCAAATAAATACTTGGAAGTAGGATTGCTGGTTCATACAATAATTCTATTTTTAATTTTTTGATGAACTTCCATTCCCTAGTGGTGACACCAATTACATTCCCACCAGGAATGCATAACGGTTCCTTTTGCTCCACATCCTTGTTCACACTTCCCATCTTTTTGATAAGAGCCATTCTAACTTGTGTAGTGCTATCTCATTGTGTAAGTTTTAATAGTGGGGAAGATGTTCATATCCTTCAGGATTGCTGAAGCAGCAAAAGGTTTATAAGCTACTGATTTAAAAACTTTAAGATGAGATGTTTTCAAAATTACAATATTGAGGGGCACCTGGATGGCTCAATCAGTTAAGCATCCAACTCTTGGTTTCGCCTCATGTCATGACCTCACAGTTCTGGGGGTTCGAGCCCCATATCGGGCTCTGTGCTGAGAGCATGGAGCCTGCTTGGGATACTCTCTCTCTGCTCTTCCTCTGCTCACACTGTCTCTGTCTCTCTCAAAAATAAACTTTAAAAAAATTTTAAATCAAAATTATAATACAAGAGTCATTTCATTAAAATTAATCCAGAAGCAAGGAAACATTCTCACCACAGGTGCTGCGTTTGGGGCTGGTCGCTGTTCAGGTGCACGTCCTTCTTCTCTGGCTTTTACAGACTGAAGAATTGCAAAAATATTCTTGGAAAAATTCTAAAATATAAATGGATCTTAATTAGCCCACTTAAAATTAAATACTCAAAGACAGTAAGTCTACTTAATAAACAGTTTCAGACTGTTTTCTTCCTATCAGTTCTTCCTTACTACATCATTCTGAAGTGTTTAGTAACACATAAATAAAAATCAAACTACTACTACTAAAAAACTGATCCAAAAACCAAATACTATAAACACATTGTTTATTCATTTATTTTCATTTTACTTAAACTGTTTAATTAGCTATAAATGTATTCATATTCTGCATCTCTTGAAATATGTCCCTGGAAACAAGTTAACATTAAAATAAAAATGATAGATTTGTTATCAAAAGAGGTTTCTTAATTCTTAGATCAACTACTATCTCTTCTTCTAGGTATAAGAAACTCTAGTACTGATCTCAGGTTGCTACAATTTAGATGAGATATGGAAAGTTTTGAAATCTTGTTTGTTAGGAGTCAATGTACACTTTTCAAAGATTTTTTTTTTTTTTTTTTTTTTTTTTAAGAGGGAGAGAGAGAGCACACAGAGGAGGGGAGAGGCGCAGAGGAAGACAGAGTCTTAAGCAGGTGCCATGCTCAACCTGGAGCCCCACACAGGGCTTAATCCCATGACCCTGGGATCATGACCTGAGCCAAAATCAAGAGTCAGCTGCTCAACTGACTGAGTCACGTAGGTACATCTAAAAGATTTGTAAAAACTTGACTCATGCCAAGATGCCAGCAGTTAACCAACCACTGCGTTTGCACCAGCAGTACAAAGGCCAACACAGTGACAAATGTAAGCAAACTGTTAATCCTACTATGAAAATCACTGAAAATATCTGAAAATCACATCTCGTTACTTTAATAATAATAGTAATAAAGTACTGTGTGAGGGGCACTTACTCTAGAAGAATCCACAGTATCAGTTATTTCTGTGTGGTAGAATTATAGATGATTATTATCTTCCTTTTAATGATCTCTTCCAATTAATTTTTCAACAAGGAACACTACTAATTTATTTAAGTTTAAAAGTATGTTTTTAATGGCATTATAAAACCAGGTTGCTTTATTTGGGGGTGCTTGGAATAATGATATAACTATAAAGTAACATACTTATTTTTCTCATGGCATCTTGAACCTTTTATTCAAGAAACTCGGAAAGTAAGAAGGCACTAATTTCTGGAATGATGAAGGTCTATTTAAAATCATAGGGCCTTGGGGCACCTGGGTGGCTCAGCTGATTAAGCATCTGATTCTTGATTTAAGCTCAGGTCATGAGATCATGGTTTGTGAGGCACTGGTACAGAGCCTGCTTGGGATTCTCCCTCTCACTCTCTCTGCCTCTCCACTGCTCACACTCTCTCCCCCTCTCCAAATAAATAAACATTAACAATAACAACAAAATAAAATAAAATCACAGGGCCTTTCAGAGTACCTAAAAGGGTTTTTAGTGGTTAGAAGATCAAAATGGGATAGAGAAAAACTATTAGCCAAAATAGTTGCTTCTAGTTTTTAAAATTGTTAATACTCACAGAAACAAACCTAGCTAACAAACAATTCTTAAACCACTAAGTTCTTAAATTATACTGTGGTGGCAATAACACTAAATTAAATTAGAACACTAAGTTCTGAAATGATGGGAAAATCCTGCCACCTAGAGCTCAAAGAAAATTGTTCATCTCAGTTTCTCGAAAATTCAATGTTTGCTCTAAAAGTAAAATGGAGCATAGCACCTAAGTTTCACCTTTGCTAGGAGAGTCAAACTTTTTGGTTACTATAATGAACAATGGTAGAACATTAGCAGGTTGTAATATTCAGATTTTAACCATATTAGGCAGTGAAAATTAGTATCAACAGATCACTTTATAATAAATACAAAAACTGAAGTTTATTTACATTTTCAGAGGTCTCTATATAACTCAAAGCCCTGGAGAATGATTCCTAATCTTGACCCCAAGTACTTTGTAAAACATGTTCAAAATACAAAAGGACAAAAACTTTCCTTCATATATTCTGTTTAAGTAACCTGATTCCTACTAATATGGCACAGTAAACTTAAGGCCAAAATCCAAAATCTGCAGATAAAGCACAGTCCACCTAAACCAATGTTAAAATTTTGCTTTCACTGTCAATCTCACACACTCCTGCAAACTCCCTTACCAAATCACCACTGTTAACAACTGTGTATCAGTGGAGTTAATATTTAAGAGAAAATTGGGAGGTGGGGAGAGAAAGACAGATGGAAATGTGTATATCAAACAGAACCAATGCACTCTTTATGGAGATCCATTAAGATACCTAACATCCAGGGCCACCTAGGTAGCTCAGTCCTGGACTCTTGGTTTCAGATCAGGTCATGATCTCGTAGTCTGTGTGTTTGAGCCCTGCATCATGTTCTCTGTGGTCAGCGCAGAGCCCACTTTGGATCCTATTTCCCTCTCTCTCTGCCCCTCCTCCACTGGTGTGTGTGTGTGCGTGCGCGCGAGCGCGCACCTGCTCTCTCCCTCTCGAACGTTTAAGAAAAAAAAGTGGGGCGCCTGGGTGGCTCAATCAGTTAAGCCTCTGGCTTCGGTCATGATTTCGCGGTTTATGAGCTCGAGCCCCATGTCAGGCTCTGTGCTGACAGCTTAGGGCCTGGAGTCTGCTTCAGATTCTAGGTCTCCCTCTCTCTACCCCTCCCCCAGTCATGCTGTCTCTCTCTCTCAAATATAAACAAACATTAAAAAAAAAAAACCAAATATCCAGTATCTTTCAAATTGTTATCTTTCAAAATTTAAAGTATACATCTCCATTAACCAGAAATTTTCTTCTAGCAATTAATTCTTTTGCTGTATACACATAAATGCAAAAAGGTATATGTGCAAGGATCTTTTTAATGCATTATTTGTAATGAAATGAGACAGGAGGAGACAAAGAAGGAAAGGAGAAGGGGGGAAAAAAACCACACTCTATAGCCAAAAAAAAACAAAATAAAACCACCTAACACCACTAATAAAAATAAATATTGCTACACCCACACAACAGAATCTATAGTATAAAATAAACAAATGACTGATGACTTTCATAAGTTTTTACTTTGGGGGGAAAAACATTAATAATGATATTAATGACCACACAGCTGGCCATCAATATTCCCTGTTCATTACGGTAAACCAAAAATCTGATCAACTAGAAAACTGGGCTATTCTTTGGATTTATTTACAAATGACGTGTAAATCAAGGAGCTTTCACTGTGATTCAGACATTTCATCACCTTCTTTGGTGACCAAATATCACTATAGACTGGAATGGTATAATAAATATGGCCACTTAGAAATTTGTATTATTATTGATCTTTCAGACATAAAACTTAAATATTGCTCCTAATAGCAAATTTTAGCCAATTCTATAACCAATCATGGATTAGATACCCACACTCACTCTAATGAATGAGTGAAATACTTTAGTTACCTTTCCTGTGCTCTGTAAGATAGTTGTTCGTGTCCTCCATACTCTCTCTCTGCTGACAATATCTCGTGTCACATCTACCTCAGCATCCACAAAACTCCTCTGTTTAAGGGCAGTTATATCATCATCTAAATCAGTCTTGATAGTAGATCTTTTCTTAGCCATAATTTTGGCTTTGATTGCAGCAATTTTTTCCACTGACATAGCTTCAGACAAAGACCTGAAAGTAATTTCTTCTTTTAAAATTTTTACAGCAAGGATCTTTTGAGCACATCATAAATATATTTTGTTACATTTAGAAGTTCTTGGTAAAAATGCCTTAAGTGGCACTAATTAAGATTTTCTTATCTAAAACTTACATACTTGGTATTTAATAATCAATCACATTAAGACATTAAAAAGTCCATGTAGAAATATCACTCAATGAGTAAATCAGTAATTTCTTAGAAGGGTCAATGCAAAAGAAATCTTCACATGTGTTCAGCTCATCCTCCCACAAAAGGCAGAACCCATTAATACAAGTGCTTTTCTTAACATTTTTTTTCCCCAGACTTTTAATTGCCAATGCCTCCCTATCGACACAAACTATAGATCATACACAAACACATGTCACCTTGCCGGGGGCAGGGGGGGGGGTGGTGAGAGAAAAATTCATTCTGTAAAGAATTCAAAGCTTAGCTTTTCCTTGAAATTTATGTCAAGGTTTCAAACTTATATGTTATAAAGTAAAACATACCCATTTTATAGGTGATGGAGGCTTTTATATACCAGCCACATAATCATATACTCCTTTTACTATCTGAAAGATTAAACCATATTTTGCAGTTTTCTTTTTCCTTCCTTTACGTGATTTTCAAGTAATGGCAAAAAAGCAAACGGGCTATATTTGGAGACTATAAAAGAAAAGACTTAAAACAGTATAAATTTCATTAAGAAGATAAGTTCTGTGTCTTTTTTTACAATGTAAAATGAGAGAAAAGAGTTTAAAAGGGTTTCAGTACCTTAACAGTTGACTTTAAAACTATAACTCTAATCACAAGAAGACAATCTTGAAATACGTTTAAGCAACATCTGGAAAAAGGATAGGAATTCCTACAGGTTTAAATATGGTAGTATTATAAAGTACACTAATGTATGTAAGATATGAAGGTACTTTACAGCAGATGCTCAATATGCACCTGGTATTTAACTCATTTTTAGAATGCTGTGTAATTTTTCATAAGATCTAAAGTATACCAGCATATCTTGAATCAAATTTAAATACTTTCCTAAATCATAAATAAATGTGAATTGCACTTTCAAACATTGGAGTTTTATTTCCAGCTAAAATGAAGGAGCAAGGACTGAAATAACCCTCCTGCTTTGAAACCAATCAAAGATACATTAAACAGTAACTTACTAAATACCTGATATCAAGCAATAAGAGACCATGATCTCTGACAAATGAAAACCAGAAAAAGTGAGCCCTATGAATGCTGCAGTTTATACCTTTGAAAGTTTCCAAAAATGGCACAGGGAGGAAAATCCAGGCAAAACTAAGTGGATTACCTGATTTGAGAAATGGAGCTGAGAGTCCAAAAAAACCAAAATGGCTGGAATTCATAGGCCTAAGTACCTGAGAAGAAAGAGCTACACTGAAGTACACAGTATTCCAGGAGTACAGGAATATGAGGAAATAATAATTGGGTATAGAAACCATCCAACAGGATTAAAGGGAACAATGCCCAGAGTTCACAGAGGGGGAAGACTAGTTCCTGTTCCCACAAGCAGAATGAAAACCTCACATCCCTGGGGCAGTAGGTACTCTGAATGGTCTTGTACAGGCAATGGGTGGGGAATAATTATCCTAAGTGAACACTGCTCAAATAACAAATCTTAAAACAAGATACAAATGGAACAAACTATCTCCAAGTGATTTAACTGTATCCCAAAAGAAAATTTAGAAAAATTCAAAACCAATTATAAATGGACACAGATGTAGGATTAGCAAAGACATTAAAATAATTATAATTACTCTATTCCACACATTCAACAAATTAAAGAGACATAAAGTATATATTTAACCAACTTTTAGAGATAAAAAATACAATGTTGGAAACTACAAATACATCACAAATATAATCACGGAAGAAAAGGTCAGTGAATGCCACAAGTACAGAAACTAGACAAGTGAACAGAAAAAAAGAACCCAAATATCTGAAGAAACAGAAATTTTCTCAATTCAATAAAAATTATGAACAAAAAGCTCAAAAACCTCAATGAAGAAAACACCATGAGGAAAACACCAAGTTTTGGGATAATTAAACAGTGCAAAACCTATTAATAGAGAAAACTTTTAAAGTAGCCAGAGGAAAAAAAGACACATTTCATTAAAAAATTTAAAAAACACAGATGACAGCAGACTTCTCATGAGCAACAATGTAATTGAGAAGGCAGTGGTACAACGTCTTGAAAGTGCAGATGGTCCTGACTTATGATGGTAAATAACTTACAATTTTTCAACTTTATGTGATGCAAAAGACATATGCGTTCAGTAGAAACCATACTCCAAATTATCATCTTTCTGCAGGCTAGTCGTATGTGATATGAGGCTCTATCGTAATAAGTGCAGTGGCAGGAAGCCACAGCTCTCAGTCAGCCATGCAATCACCAGGATAAATAACTGATACACTTAAAATCATTCTGTACCGATACAACCATTCTATTTTATACTTTCAGTATAGTATTCAATACATTACATGAAATAGTCAACACTTTATTATAAAATGGGCTTCATATTAGATGACTTTGCCAAACTGTAGGCTAATGAAAGTGCTCTAGGCATATTTAAAGTAGTGTAGGCTAAGCAATGACATTTGATAGGTTAGGCATATTAAATGCATTTCGGGTTTATGGTGTTTTCTACTTACAACAGGTTTATCAAGATGTAACTCATCTTAAGTCAAAGACTTGTACTTAAAAAGATGTAACTTAAGAATTTTATATCCAGTCAGAATTCCTTAAAAAAGAAAGCAAAATAAAAGCTTTTTTACCAATAAAAAGTTGAGGGGCACCTGGGTGGCTCAGTTGGTTAAGTGTCTGACTTCAGCACAGGTCATGATCTCATGGTCTGTGAGTTCGAGCCCCTGCCAGGGACTCTGTGCTGACACAGAGATCTTCTTAAGATCCTCTGTGCTCCTCTCTTTGCCCCTCTCCCACTTTTGTATGCACACACTCACTGTCTCTCAAAAATAAATAAGCGTATAAAAAAAAAGACTGGAAGAATTAATCACCAGCAGGTCTACACAAAAAGAAATGTTAAAAGAAGTCTTTAAGAATGGAAAAAATAGGTTAAAAGGATCTGCACAAAAAAAAATGAAGAATAATGGAAATGGCATCTATAAATACATTAATTTTTTTTCTAACTTAAATCTCTTTAAAAGAGAACTCTTTAAACAAGAATATGGATATCTATGTTTACAACACATGTGTAAGTATTTTAAGGCATCCATACTTGTATATGAAGTAGCCTAACACTTTCAGGTAGACTGTGATGCTATAAACCACACATACAAAAAACCCTAAAGCAAACACTAATAACAAAACATAACTAATAAGCCAAATGCAACAAGAAAAAAAAGAATTACAACAAATAATCATTCATCCCAAAAATAGGACAAAAAAGAGACCAATAAAAAACAATAAGAAAAATGAACTAAAATTAACCGTATCAATAATCACATTAAGTATAAAGGATCTAAACACACACAAAAAAGCACTTAAACTGTAAAGACAGACAGGTTAAAAGTAAAATGATACCAGTTTTCAAGAAGAAGAGTGTTTATGGACATGGTTGCACAACAATATAAAAGTACTCAAGACTCTGAACTGCACACTTTAAAATAATTACAACAATAGGGGCACCTGGGCGGCTTAGTCAGTTAAGCATCCAACTCTTGATTTTAGCTCAGGTCATGATCTCACGGTTCATGAATTCAAGCCCTACCTACATTGGGCTCTGCACTGTCGGCACAGAGGTTCTCTCTCTCTGCTTTCTCTCTCTGTCTCTATTCTGCTTGCTCTCTCTCAAATAAACTTAAGATAATTTTTTAAATAATAATAATTAAAAAATAAGTTACAATGATAAATTTTATGTTTTTTTACATCTTTTTGAAAAGGAAAAGGAAAAAAAGATTTACTATGCTATCATAAGCCAAAAGAAAGCTGGAGAAGTGTCTAGGTGAATTATAAGAAAAAGTAAAATTTTTCAACAAAAAATGCTGCTAAGGATAAAAGTCACTCTACAATAAGAAGATTCATTCATCAAGAGAACATAACCCTTGGGGCACCTGGATGGCTCAGTCAGTTAAGCGTCCAATTTCTGCTCAGGGCATGATCTCACGGTTCGTGGGTTCAAGCCCTGCACTGTGCTGACAGCTAGCTCAGAGCCTGCAGCCTGCTTCAGATTCTGTGTCTTCCTCTCTCTCTGACCCTCCCCTGCTCATGCTGTGTGTCTCTCTCTCAGAAATAAATAAAACATTAAAAAAAAAAAACCATAACCCTAAACATTTACACCTAGTAACAGAGCTTCAAAGTAGTCAGAGAACAAAAATCTGACAGAAATGCAAGAGAAAAGTAGACAAATCCACAGCCAAAGATTTCAATAATTCTATCTCAATAATGATACAAGTAAGACAGAAAATAAGGTATAGAAGACTTCACTGACACTACCTACAAAGTTGACCTTTCTGACCATTGCCAGACACTCCAAAATTAACAGGAGAATACACATTCTTTTCAAGTGCCTACAGAAAAGACCTTATTTGGGGCCAAAAACCAAGTTTTAATACTTATCAAAGAATTCAAAATCATATAAGTACAACCATACTTTGGAATAGATTGGAAATAAGTAACAAAGATCTCTAGAAACCCCAACCATTTGGAAACTAACTCACTTATAAACAAACCATGAGTCTAAGAAATCACAAGGGAGATGAGAAATTCTGAGCTGAATGAAAATGAAAACACAACATACCAAAATATGAGATGCCATTAAAGCAGTACTTACAGTGGAAGCTGAGGTTACTGATTTCCCTCTAAGAAACTATAAAAAATAGAGCATATTAAAACCAGAGTAACCAAAACAAAGTAAATCATAAAGAACAGAGCAGAAACTGAAGAATGAAAAAGGAAGGAAAAAAAAAACTAAAGAGGAAAATCCCAGTCTGGTTCTTTGAAAAGATCAATAAAATGAATCAATTTTGGCCAGACAATACGAAAACTAACAGAAACACACAATTGCTAATATCAAGGAATGAAAGAAGGGACATCACTACAGGTCCTAAACATCAGATAAGGACATTATGAACAACATTACGCCAATAAATTGGACAATGTAGATGAAATGGACAAATTCTTTCAAAGAAACATTCAAAGGGGAGAGAGAAAAAAGAGAGGACTAGAATAGACCTATTAACTATTAAACTGAAGATATAGTTGAAAATTTTATGTGAAATACGTAAAAATAAGTAAAACTATACTACAGATTACTTCACTAATAAATTTTCCCAAATGCAGGAAGAAATAATACTAATTCTAGGGACGCTTGGGTGGCTCAGTCAGTTAAGAAATAACTAATTCTAAACAAACTTTTCCAGAAAACTGAAGAAAAGGAAATACTTTGCAACTCATTCTGAGCTGGATTATCTTGATAGGAATTACCTTGATTAAGAAACAAGACAAAGACATCATAAGAAAACTACATGAACATAGGTACAAAATTTCTATATAAATTTTTAATAGTTCAATAATATATAAAAAGAATACATCATAGTCATGGTAAGCAACTATTGAAATGTTATTAACAATATCCACCTCTTGGGATTCACACCCATGTGTTATCCCCTTCCTATGTGTATGTGTGGGCTAAACCTTGCTTCTAACAATTAGAATGCTGTACAAATAACAGGGTGTCCCTCTCAAGATTTGACTACAAAAATTTTCTATCTTGCTTAACAGCTCTCCTGCACTCTTACTTGCTCACTCTGATGAAGCAAGACGTAATACTATGAAATGTTCCATGGAGAGACCAAATGTGGCAAAGAACCAAGAGAGTCCACTAGACTAACAACCTGTAAGGAACTAAATTCTGCCAACAACCACATGAGTGTGCTTGGAAGTATATCTTTCTATCAAGCCTATACATGAGAACACAATCCTGGTCAACACCTTAATTGCAACATTGTGAAAGGCCCTAAAGCAGAGTCATTCCAAGATTCCTGACCCACAAAAACTATAAGATAATAAATGTGTTTTGTGGGGCGCTTGGGTGGCTCAGTCAGTTAAACATCTGCCTCTTGGTTTCAGCTCAAGTCATGATCCCATGGTTCGTGGGTCAGAGCCCCACATCGGCTCCATGTTGACAGTGCAGGGCCTGCTTGGGATCTCTCTCTCTCCCTCCCCCTGCTCCCTGCTCACTCACTCTCATAATAAACTTTAAAAATAAATAAATAAATGTGTGCTGTTTAAGCCACTATGTTTCAGATTAATCTGTTATGCAGCAAGATAAGCAATAAAATAATGAAGTAGAAGGATGCCTGGGTGGCACAGTTGGTTAAGTGCCTGACTCTAGATCTCGGCTCAGGTAATGATCTCAGTTAGTGAGTTCAAGCCCCACCCCGGCTCTGTGCTGATGCTGCCACAGAGCCTGCTTGGGATTCTGTCTCTCCTCTCTGCCCCTCCTCCACTTGTTCTCCCTCTCAAAATACATAAACTTGAAAAAAAATTTTTTTAAATAATGAAGTAGGGTTTATCCATGAAAATGCAAACATCAAAACATTAATTTACCATATTAACAAAAAAGAAAAACTATATATCAATTCAATAGAATCAGAAAAAGCATGTGACAATAGCTAACATTTCTTTCTGATAAACTTTTGGCAAACTAGAAATAAAAAGATACTTCCTCAACCTGTTGAAGGGTATCTAACAAAAAAACCTAAGCAACGCTTAATGGTGAAAGACTGCTTTCCCCTAAGATGAGGAACAAAACAAGAATACCTAACCTCAATGCTTCTTCAACAGATTAGTGAGCAATTAGTGAGTCTAGCCAATGCAAAAGTATGTAGACAACATGATTATCTAGATAGAAAAACTAATGATAGCTATAAAAAAAGTTACAAGAACTAATCAATGAGTTTAACATGACTGCAGGAAACAAGATCCATACCCACAAATCAACTGTATTTCTATACTAGCAGTATACTAGCAGTATAGAAAATCATGAAACATTAAAATAAAGGTCTAAATATCTCTCCATTAATAGATGGGGAAATAAATATATCTTGTTCAAAAGTCAGAAGACTCAATATTTTTTAGATATCAATTTTCCCCAAACTGGTCTACAGATTTAATGCAGTCCCAATCAAATCCCAGTAAGCTTTTTTTTTTTTTTTGGTAGGAACCCAAAACTCATGTATAAATGCAAAGAACCTAAAAGAGCAAAAACATCCTTGAAACAGAAAAACAAAGTTGGAAAGCTAACACCATCTGATTTCAAAACTTATAAAGAAACAGTTTGTCACTGGCAAAAAGACAAACAGTACACAATGGGTCCAGAAACAAACCTACATAGGAACAACTAATTTTTTACAAAAGTGCAAACAATTCACTGGATACCACTAGTGCTGAAACTATTAGGACAACTGGCACAAAACCGAATTTTAATACCTATATCATAAAAAATAAATGAACTTTGAGCCATACTGTGTACTCCATACAAAAAATTAACTAAAGTAGATCACAGACTTAAATGTAAAACCTAGAGGCATCTGGGTGGCTCAGTCGGTTAAACTTCCGACTTCAGCTCAGGTCATGATCTCACAGTTCGTGAGTTCAAGCCCTGCATCAGGCTCTGTGCTGACAGCTCAGAGCCTGGAGCCTGCTTCAGATTCTGGGTCTCCCTCTCTCTCTCTGCCCCGCTCCCACTCCCTCACTCTCTCTGTCAAAAATAAGCATTAAAAAAAATAAAATAATGATAAATGAAAATAAATAAATGTTGGGGCGCCTGGGTGGCTTAGTCGGTTAAGCGTCCGACTTTCGCTTAGGTCATGATCTCACGGTTCGTGGGTTCGAGCCCCACGTCGGGCTCTGTGCTGACTGCCAGCTCAGAGCCTGGAGCCTGTTTCAGTCTGTGACTCCCTCTCTCTCTGACCCTCCCCTGCTCACTCTCTCTCTCTAGAAATAAATAAAAAAAAAAACTTAAAAAAAAAAAAAGAAAAGAAATAAATGAATGTAAAACCTAAAATTAAAAATTTATACAACAACAACAAAAATTGTACAAGAAAATACAAGATAGTCTTAGGTGACTTTGCTCAAAGATTTCTTAGATACAGCACCAAAAGACTATTTACAAAAGAATACACTGATAAATGAGCTGTCGTAAAAATTCAAACAAGCTGCTCTTCAAAAGGTAGCTAGAGAATGTAAAGACAGTCACAGACTGGTAAAAACACCTGCAAAGCCCATGTCTGAAAAAGGACTTCTATCCAGAACATACAACAAACTTTCAAAACCCAATAATAAGAAAACAATCCAATCCAGTAAAAAAATGGACAAAAGTTTGAACACCCTTCACCAAACATGATAAAAGATGGCAAATAAGCACACAAATAGATACTCATAATTTCATTAGTCATGAGATAAGATACCATCTCATATCTTTTAGCATGACTAAATTTAAAAAGCCTGACCACACCAAGTGTTAGCAAGGCTCTGAAGAAAAGTAAGACTCATATATTCATGGTAGAAATGTGAAATGGTACAATCACTCTGAACAGTTCGGTGATTTCCTAAAAAGAAAATTTATAACATTACATGATTCAATCATTCCTCCCCTAGGTATTTACTCAGTAAAACTGAAAACATATGTCCATTAAAAACTTGTACACAAATGATCATAGCTTTAGCTGTAATAGCCAAAAAACAGCAACATGTAAAATGTCCGTAAACAGTTGCCTAGGAAAACAAACTGTTATGCCTATCCACTGGAAAAGAATGAACTACTCAGCAATAAAAAAGAATGAACTATTGACACATCAGCAACATGATGAATCTCAAAATAATTATGCTAAATAAAAGAGGCCAGACCTCCAAAGGAGTATATACTTTATAACTCCATTTATATTTAACTCCATAAAAAACCAATCAGCAGATCACTGGTAGCCTGGAGAGGGAAGGATGCAGGGATAGGTAAAGTGTGGAATCATAAAGGTACAGAAAAAATGTATAGCAGTGATGTTACATTCATGATCTGGATTATGATGGTTTCACAGATGTATATGTATGTAAAAGCTTATCAACTCTTACACTTCAAATATGTGCAGCTTACTGTTAAGCCAATCATCCTCAATAAAGCGTTTAAAGATCCACATTGAACTTTTTCATTTGGATAGAACTTCCAAAGCATTATATTGTGCCAAGGAAAAACTATGAAGGGATTCTAATTATACTAAAAATCAGGGATCAACAAAATAATACCACAGGCCATATCTAGCCATGCTAATTCTTTTATGAATGAAAGCAATCACAGATTGCTTTCCCTACCACAAGTATTAAATAGTTACCAAAAAACTCCACATTACCTTCAAAGCCGAAAGTATTTAATTTGTGTCATGCACAAAAAAAGTTTGCTGACCTCTGCTATAAGTCAACAAAAGATCACAAAATAAATGAGTGGCTTGCTTATGGAGTAATTTTAAGAAGGAAAGATCAATATGGTAATAGAACCAAGAAGTCTTTCCAGAAAGCATCATTAGGTTTCAATCTCTCCTACCATAAAATAGGCCCACACATCTTTTAAACTTAGGACACAGAAACACATAATAAATGCAGTAAGTAAAGGTAAATGTAGATTGCATATTATCTCCTTTTCCATATACACTTACATAACACTTTCTACTAAAGAAAATCTTACCTAATCTGTTCAGTCTGTACAATCCCTTCTTTGTGACCCTCCAAACGAGCAGCCAATCTCTCTTTATCAAGGCGCACACACTCTTCATCCTGAAAATAATCACTGGTTAGTGAATATTTTAAATTTTTATTTAACTTTTATTTATTTTGAGAGAGACTGTGTACAAGTGGGGAGGGCAGAAAGAGAGAGGGACAGAGGATTTGAAGCAGGCTCTGTGCTGACAGTCTGACAGCAGTGTGCCCGATGTGGGGCTCAAAATCATGAACTGCAAGATCATGACCTGAGCCCGTTAGATTTTCAACTGACTGAACCACCCAGGTGCCCCTTTATTCAACTTTTAGAATAGCAACAAAAAATTACATGTAACTTTTCCTTACATAAGTTCCTGCCTAGAACTTTCCACTTATCACTGGCCTTGAATCAACTCAATTTTAAGATTACTTTTAGTTACATAAGGACAACAATAATAAGTAACAGTTGTGGGGTGCCTAGGTGGCTCAGTTGGTTGACTACTGGATTTTGGTTGAACAGGTCATGATCCCAAGGTCGTGGGATCAAGCCCTGCACCAGGCTCTGTGATGAGTGCGGAGCCTACTTAAGATACCCAGTCTCTCTCCCACTGCCCCCTCCCCTGTTCACAAACTCACTCTCACACTCTCTCTTTCTCAAATAAAATAAAAAATTAGTAAGTAAGTAAATGTTGGATCACACAAGAGTAGAAGAGATTAAAGGCTTACCAAAGAACTTCAGCAACTCTTTTCAATATTTATTTATTTTGAGGGAGAGATGGAGAGAAGGTGTAAAGGAGGGCAGAGAGACAAGAGAGAATCCAAGCAGACAGCACTATCAGCCTGTCAGATGGAGCCCAACATGGGGTGGGGATCAATATCACCAAGCCTGAGATCACGACCTGAGCCAAAACCAAGAGTCAGACGCTTAAAGGGCGTCTGTGTGGCTCAGTCAGTTAAGCATCGGACTTTTGCTTTCGGCTCAGGTCATGACTTCACAGTGCAGGAGTCTGAGCCCCAGTCAGGCTCCCGTGCTGTGGATGCGGGGCCTGCTTGGGATTCTGCCTCTCCTTCCCTCTCTACCCCTTCACCACTGTGTTCTCTCTTTCAAAATAAATAAACTTTAACGAGTCGGATGCTTAACTGATTGAGCCACCTGGGCATTCCACAGCAACTTTTTTCCATGATTAAATGTTCGTCTCATAATGTATCACAGCTACTTTTACTCACAAAGATACACCACAAATAAATTCCTTCTCTTCAGGAAAATTTATTAGTAAATTTTATGAAAAGCTTTCACTACAGTCAAAAATTTTGTTTTGGAGCTAGTTTTTTGCATCTGTTGCCTCAGGTCATGAGTCTATTAGCATTTCTGATTACCACAAGTGAAACTTTAATGGTTTTCAAAGTATGTTCCTTGGACCATTAGACATTTCCTACAGAGTGACCCATGGGCCACTTCTCTGAATTTAACCTTGGTAGCTTAGCTTTTTTCTAACCTGCATGTTAGAATTTCAGGTAAAATTTAATCTGAAATATGTTCATTTAAAAACAAAACTTGGGGCGCCTGGGTGGCTTAGTCGGTTAAGCGTCCGACTTTCGCTTAGGTCATGATCTCGCGGTTCGTGGGTTCGAGCCCCGCGTCGGGCACTGTGCTGACTGCCAGCTCAGAGCCTGGAGCCTGTTTCAGTCTGTGACTCCCTCTCTCTCTGACCTTCCCCTGCTCACGCTCTCTCTCTCTCTCTCCTAGAAATAAATAAAACATTAAAAAAACAACAACAACAACAAAAAACTTCATCAGGGCACCTGGGTGGCTCAGTCAGTTAAGAGTCCAACTTTGGCTCAGGTCATGATCTCACGGTTTATGACTTCGACCCCTGCATCCGGCCGGCTCTGTACTGACAGCTCAGAGCGAGGAGCCTGCATCAGATTCTGTGTCTCCTGTCTCTGCCCCCTCCCCCACTCAACCTTGCTCTCACACCAAGTGCTCTCTCTCTCAAAAATAAAAAAATTAGGGGCGCCTGGGTGGTTCAGTCGACTGAGTGTCCAACTTCAGCTCAGGTCATGATATCGCGGTTCATGGATTGGAGCTCCTCATCAGGCTCTGTGCTGACAGCTCAGATCCTAGAGCCTGTCTTTGGATTCTATATCTCCCTCTCTCTCTGACCCTCCCCTGCTCGCTCTGTCTCTACCTCTCTCTCAAAAATAAATAAAACATTGGAGCACCTGGGTGGCTCAGTTGGTTAAGCATCCAACTTTGGCTCAGGTCATGATCTCATGGTTCGCAGGTTTGAGCCCCGTGTCGGGCTCTGTGCTGACGGCTAGCTCAGAGTCTGGAGCCTGCTTCCGGTTCTGTGTCTCCCTTTCTCTCTCTGACCCTCCCCTGTTCATGCTGTCTCTCTCTCTCTCAGAAATAAATAAAACATTAAAAAAAATTTTTTAATAATAAATCATTAAAAACATTTTAATAAAAAAATAAAATAAAAATAAAAACATTAAAAACAAAACTTGATCTAGTTCAATGCCCACATTCAACAAATGAGACAAGTGAGGAAAAGAGCCAGTGTTTATGGCTAACAAAATATGATACTATATAAAAGGCATCAGCATACTCAAGAGATCTAAAAACATGTTCTGCTTCAATTCATGCTCTTATATTAACCTATCATTTAAAACAGACATATTACTAATATGAACACAAAGAGAGTATTTTAGCAAACTGCATTAATTTTAGACATCTGTAATGAAGGAATAGCACAAATTACTCAAGTTCCTTAGGAAACTATTGATTTTAAAGACAACTGTAGTCTAGATTTTAAACAGATCAGAATCTTTGCCCTCAAGGTTTCTCTCTAAGCATAGTGCCTTGCAGGTTCCCAATATTTTATGTGCTGAACTAAACACAATTAATGTAACATAACTATTTATGTAACTCTTTTAACTTGATAAATACTCTGGAAAGAATTTTATTACGCTATTTCTTGCTGATTTTTCAAGTTAACAGTATCCTAGCAAATCAGCATTTCTGGTATGTTCAATTGCTTTTCAAATAATTAAACTCTAAATTTCAGGTTTTTCCAAGTAATTAGTATGTCTAAATTCACTCGTTTTGTTCATAATGGATTACAACCTTCTTTCATAAAGAGAGAACAGGTAGAAATTTTCATTTTACTGCTGCAAAATTTGTAGTCAGTATATACAGTGTGATGGCTGGGAGCCAGGTTGTCTGGGCTCTATTCCTGGTTCTATGAACCTCAGGAAGTAACTTGTTCTGAGGTGTTTGCTCATTGATAACATGCACCATACTGACAACTTCAGGAGTTTTTGGTAGTGGATTACATGAGTTAATATACAGAAAGTGTACAAAACATTACCCAGAGCAGAGTAGGAAAAATGAGCTAATTAACATTACTATCATTAACTAAAACATCAAGTCCATGTCTCAGAGTTTGCTTAATTAAAATCACATTGTTTTAAAATTAATTGATTAAAATTACACTGTTTTAGCACGAAATTTCGTCAATGTTTATACAAAGCATACACATCAACAACCCTGTCCCTTTAACAGTCACATTTTTATTCTTACCTGTGGATGCTTTGCTGTTTATGTAGTAGGCAAAAGGTACAACTATTTGCTTTTTATGCAAGTGTGAAAAGGAGATTTACGGTTTTCTAGTAATGTTAAATTAGTGATGACTACAAGTATTATTTCCTATATTGTTAACTGATATTGTTACTCATTTCTCAGATTTTAAATGTATCTCTCGTACATAATCTTCCATTTGCATGGGGTTTTATATGTAACTGATCTGGGACTTGTTAAATAATGTAAATACAAGTCTCATACTTGTATACTTAAAATTTCTAAGGCTTAATTATCTTATACAGTATGGTAGCTGTTCAACTCTTCTTTCTAAAGATAACTGCATTTCTTATACAGTTTCTATTTCATGTGAACTATCTTTATTTACCAATATTAGCATTCTACTGCTGGCTGTAAAATACTACAAGGTGCCTGGGTGGCTCAGTCAGTTAGTTAGGCATCTGACTTCAGCTCAGGTCATGATCTCGAGGTTAATGAGTTCTGTGCTGACAGCTCAGAGTCTGGAGCCTGCTTTGGATTTCGTGTCTCCCTCTCTTTCTGCCCCTCTCCCACTCACACTGTCTCTCTAAAAATTAATCGTTTTTTAAAAAAGTGTTTTTAATACTACAAAAAATAAGCAACCTCATACATAGCTATTTTAAGAAGTAACTATAAGCACTTCTTGTTCATAGTTCTTAAAAAAAAAAAAAAGGCATCTTCTAGGGGAACCTGGTTGGCTCAGTTGGTTAAGAGTCCGACTTCGGCTCAGGCCATGATCTCACAGTTTGTGACTTCAAGCCCCACATCTGGATCTGTGCTGACAGCTCAGAGTCTGGAGCCTGCTTCGGATTCTGTGTCTCCCTCTTTGTGCCCTTCCCTGCTCACACCTGGTCTCTCTCCCACTCAAAAATAAACAAACATTAAAAAAAAAAAAAAAGAGTACAGCAAATTCTCACAATCATCTTATTTCAGGGATAGGCAAACTACAACCCAAAGGTAGACTCACCATCTGTTTTATAAAATTTTATTGGAATACAGCCCTGTCAGTTCATTTATGTATTGCTTATGCCTGCTTTCACACTATGATAGCAGGCTGGAATAGTTGGACAGAAACTAAATGGCCCAAAAAGCCTAAAATATTTACTATCTGGACTTTCACAGAAGAAATCTCCCAACTCCTGATGAAGCCGAATACTTGCGTCAATAAACAAAGAAAAATAAAGTGATCTGTCCATCACATAGTATGTAAAAGACCTTAAACTGTAACTCAAACTACTATTAATCAAACATTCATAATACTACAATAATTTTTCCAGATAAAAACTCTTAGGACTATTATGAAAAAGACTTTTTATTCAAATACAATGTATTTTGTACACTCCAATTCACATTTAAAATAAAGTTCCATTACCTCAATTCGTGGTTTCTTTGCTTCTGCTAAAACTTCGTCTGCAGCTCGTTTGACTTTAAGGGGGAAAAAAAAAAAGTAACTGTATAGTTTTGGAATAAGTTTTTTAAAGTTCAATATAAATACACAGCAAAACATACCTTGGGTAGATCGCTGAAGACCTATTTCTAGAGGGGCACTTCTGTCTATGCTTGCCGACGTTGCTGAAGATTTAAAAAGATTTAGATGAGAAGCTCAATATTTGAACACATATACTAGACACTACTACAAATAAAATGTTCAATATTTGTTATTTCTTACTTTACATACGGTAATTTCCTGAGGGGAAAAAAGTTTTAAAGCAGCTCTGTAAAACATTTTATTATAAAAGATCAATCTATGTTTAAAAGTCTTTAAAAGACAAATTATTTTTAACAACTCAGCTGACAAATTACTGTGATAATAACTGAAATTAACTGGTCACTTCAAAGAACATATACTCCAGTACTACACATGCACATAAAATGTATCTGAATGTAAATACATACACATATACGTAAAAGAAAAGGCTTTTAAGTTAGTATTCACTTTAAAAACGTAAATTTTAGTTATTCACAATTGGTAAAAAACAAAAAACTGCATATACCTTTTTTAAATTAATTTTTAAATTAACATTTGTTTATTTTTGAGAGACAGATAAAGTGTGAGCAAGGAAGTGGCAGAGAGAGAGGGAGACACAGAATCCAAAGCAGGCTCCAGGCTCCAAGCTGTCAGTACAGAGCCCAATGTGGGACTTGAACTCAGGAACTGTGAGATCTTGACCTGAGCTGAAGTCAGACGTTTAACCAAATGAGCCACCCAGGCGCCCCTACAATTACTTTTTAAATTAAGTCATTTAAATTGTGAATGGTTGGGGCGCCTGGGTGGCTTAGTCGGTTAAGCGTCCGACTTTCGCTTAGGTCGTGATCTCGCGGTTCGTGGGTTCGAGCCCCGTGTCGGGCTCTGTGCTGACTGCCAGCTCAGATCCTGGAGCCTGTTGCAGTCTGTGACTCCCTCTCTCTCTGACCCTCCCCTGCTCACGCTGTCTCTCTCTCTCTCCTAGAAATAAAAATAAAAAATATTAAAATAAATAAATAAATTGTAAATGGTTGAAAATAATGAAACTAACAAAAGGGTGTACCACTCCCATCCACTTAGTTCCCACCACCCTACATGACTATTTACTATCAAGATACTCTTGAGTATCTTTCTAGAAGTTCTTACTGTAGATTCAAGAAATACAATCTTAGACTTTTATTTGCCCCTCTTTTTAAAATTTTTAAATGTTTATTTATTTACTGGGCCGGGGCGGGGGGGATGCGGCAAGAGAGAAAGGAGAGAATCCCAAGCAGGTTCTGTGCTATCAGGGCAGAGCCCAATATGGGACTCAATCCCAGAAACTGTGAGATCACAATCTTAGCCAAAACCATGAGTTAGATGCTTAACTAACTGAGCCACCTATGTGTCCCCTTCCTCTGTTTTAACAGAAAGGATAGCATATTATATACACTATCCTGACCTTTTCCTTTTTATCCTAACAAAAGAGCTCTAACATACTGATACGTGGTGCATTCTTTCTTTTTAAAGCTACATAGCATTATCAACATAATAGGAACTGGTTCTTTCAAAGAATTAACAAAACTGAAAACCCCAACCAGATTTATCAAAAAAAAGAGGACTCAAATAAACAAAATCATGAATGAAAGAGGAGAGATCACAACCACCACTGCAGAAATACAAGCAATTATAAGAAAATATTATGAACAATTATATGCCAACAAATAGGACAATCTGGAAGAAATGGATAAATTCCTAGAAACATATAAACTACCAAGACTGAAAAAGAAATAGAAAATTTGAATAGACAAGGCGCCTGGGTGGCTCAGTTGGTGGAGTGTCTGACCTCGGCTCAGGTCATGATCTCCCTGTTCGTGAGTCCGAGACTTAGTTTGGGCTCTCCACTGTAAGCACAGAGCCCCCACTTCAGATCTTCTGTCTCCTCCTCTTTCTGTCTCTCCCCCCGCTGGCACTCTCTCAATAATAAAAAAAAATTTTTTAATTAAAAAAAAGGGGTGCCTGGATAGCTCAGTCGGTTAAGTGGCCGTCTTCGGCTCAGGTCATGATCTTGCAGTTCATGGGTTTGGGCCCTGCATTGGGCTCTGTGCTAACAACTCGGAGCTTGGAGCCTGCTTCAGACTGTTTCTCCCTCTCTCTCTGTCCCTCCCGTGCTCACACTCTGTGTATGTCTCTCTCAAAAATAAGTAAATTAAAAAAAAATTTTTTTAATAAAAATTAAGAAAAAATAAATTAAAACAAATTTTGAACAGACCCATAACCAGCAAAGAAACTGAATCTGTAATCAAAAATCTTCCAACAAACAAGAGTCCAGAATAGGATGGCCTCCCAGGGGAATTCTACCAAACATTTAAAGAGTTAATACCTATTCTTTCAAAAAATAGAAATGGAAGGAAAATCTCCAAACTCATTCTATGAGGCCACCATTATCTTGATTCTAAAACCAGACAAAGACCTCACTAAAAGAATGACAGACCAATATCCCTGATGAACATGGATGCAAAAATTCTCAACAAGATACCACCAAATCAAATCCAACAGTACATTAGAAAAAGTATTCACTGTGATTAAGTGGGATTTATTACTGGGCTGCAAGACTGGCTCAATATTCACAAATCAAACTACATGATACACCACATTAATGAAAGAAAGGATAAAAACCACATGATCCTCTCAATAGATGCAGAAAAAGCATTTGACAAAATACAGCATCCTTTCTTAATAAAAACCCTCAAGAAAGTAGGGACAGAAGGAACACACTTCAATATCATAAAGGCCATACACAAAAAAGACCCATAGCTAACATCATTCTCGATGAGAAAAACCTGAGAGCTTTTCCCCAAAGGTCAGGAACACGACAGAAATGTCCATTCTCACAACTGTTGTTGAACATAGTACTAGAAGTCCTACCCTAAGCAATCAGACAACCAAAAAAAAATTAAAGGCACCCAAACCAGCAAGGAAGAAGTCAAACTTCACAGTTCATAGAAGGACATGATACTTTATACAGAAAACCCGAAAGACTCCATCAAAAATTTGCTAGAACTGATAAATGAATTCAGCAAAGTAACGGGATATAAATTCAACATACAGCAATCTATTACATTTCTATGCACCAACAATGGATCAGCAGAAAGAGAAATCAAGGAATTGACCCCGTGTACGATTGCATCAAAAACCAGAAAATAACTAGGAATAAACCTAACCAAAGATGTAAAAGACTGGTACTCTGAAAACTACAAAACACTTATGAAAAACTGAAGAAAATACAGAGAAACGAAAAAAATATTCCATGCTCATGGATTGGAAAAACAGGTAAATGTTAAAATGTCTATACCACCCAAAGCAATCTACATATTCAATGCAATGCCTATCAAAATAGCACCAGAATTCTGAACTAGAACAAACAATCCTAAAATGTGTATGGAACCAGAAAACATCCCAAGTAGACAAACTAATGAGGAAGAAATATAAAAGCAAAGTGGAAAGTGTCACAATTCCAGACTTAAGCTGTATTACAAAGCTGTAATCATCAAGACAGTATGGTACTAGCACAAAAACACACAGATCGATGGAACAGAATAGAGAACCCAGAACTGTACCCACAACTCTATGGTCAACTAATCTTCAACAAAGCAGGAAAGAATAACCAATGGAAAAAAGTCTCAACAAATGGTGTTGGAAAACGAGATCATAATGAAACTGGACCACTTTCTTACACCGTACACAAAAATACACTCAAAATGGATGAAAGACCTAAATGTGAGACAGGAAAACATCAAAATCCTAGAGGAGAACACAGGCAGCAATTTCTTTGACCTTGGCCATAGCAACTTCTTACTAGACACATCTCAGGAGGCAAGGGAAACAAAAGCAAACATCAACTACTGGGACCTCATCAAGATAAAAAGCTTCTGCACAGCAAAGGAATCAAAAAAACTTTTTAAAAGGCAGCCTACAGAATGGGAGAAGATATTTGCAAATGAAATATTGTATAAAGTGCTAGTATCCCAAATCTATAAAAAGAACTTCTCAAACTCAACACCCAAAAACTAAATAATCCAGTTAAGAAATGGGCAGAAGACATGAACAAACTTTTCTCCAAAAAAGACATACAAATGGGTAACAGACATACGAAAAAGTTCAACATCACTTATCATCAGGAAAATGCAAACCTAAACCACAATGAGATACCACCTCACACCTGTCAGAATGGTGAAAATTAACAACTCAGGAAACAACAGATATTGGAGAGGACGCAGAGAAAGGGGAACCCTCTTGCACTGGTGGTGGAAATGCAAGCTGGTGCAACCACTCTGGAAAACTGCATAAGTTCCTCAAAAAGTTAAAAAGAGAACCACCCTATGACCCAGCAATTGCACTACTTTAAGAATAACCACTCAATAAGTGCTTACTGAATGTTCAGAGGACAGTACAGAAAGATAATACTCTTGCTCATGGTCTTCCCATTATGCAAGAGATTCTATGCAAATCAGTATTACTGTTAAAGTCATGGAATGCAGTAAGTGACAAGACAGGTGTTAATGACTTAAAGGTAGTAAACACCCCAAAGGAAGGTTAAAACCAAACAGTCTCCTGTTGATTTATTCATACTATCATGTGATTATATCAATTAATTCATACTCACCAATTTATATTCTACCAATTGTACCAACTTATACCAATTTGTTCATATTCTTTAAGACAGCAAATTAACGATTACTCATTTATACCGGTAACCACCTACTATTAACCACTGTTCTAAATGCTGGGTATTTAACAACTACCTGCCCCCTTAGAGTTTACCCTCTAATAGAGTAGACAAATATATTAATAAGCCAATATATAATTTCAAGTCAATGTAAGGGATTTGACAAATATAAATTAGGAAGATACTATACACATTAGATGTATGTGGAAAAACAATGCTATTTTCTTTTTTAGAGTGGTAAGTTCTTTCTGACAGAACGTTAAAGCACAGATTAAGGTGGTAAGAAGACCTGTGACAAGGTAGAGAAACAACTGAACACAGAGAAAATACCAAGTACAAAGGCTTGAAAAGTTGGGATAGTTAAAAGAATCAATAAGACTGGACTGTGAGCAAAGGAAGGCTGGAAGCAGATGAGGCCACAGACATTGAGGCAGAAGCAAAATCACACAGGTCAGGATGAGGAGTGTGAGCTTTATGCTAAATGTGACGGGAAGCCACAGGATGGCCTTGAGCAGGTAAGTAACACAATCAAGTTTGTATATATTTTCCAAAACAGGTCACTCTAGTGAGTAGGCGAAGACTATACTAGAAAATACAGAGTAGGCACCTGTAAAAAGGCTATTTAAGTCTAACGGGGAAGGATGGAACACAGTGAGGGTAGAATAGTTAAGAAACTCATGCTTTTAGGGGCGCCTGGGTGGCTTAGTCGGTTAAGCATCCGACTTTCGCTTAGGTCATGATCTCGCGGTTCGTGGGTTCAAGCCCCACGTCGGGCTCTGTGCTGACTGCCAGCTCAGAGCCTGGAGCCTATTTCAGAGTCTGTATCTCCCTCTCTCTCTGACCCTCCCCTGCTCATGCGGTCTCTCTCTCTCCCTCTCCTAGAAATAAATAAAAAAAATATTAAAACAAAAAAAAAGAAACTCATGCTTTTAAAGTTAAAGAAAAGGACTTGCTCACACAATGAGATGTGAGAAAAAAGTAATCAAAGATTTCCCCAGGGTTTCTGGCCTCAGCAACTACATGAATGGAACGCCATTTACTGAGATGGGAACACTGAGAAATCAGACCTATTTTGTTTGAGGGGAGGAGGGAAAAGAGGAAATCGGCATTCTATTTCAGATATGTTGAATTTCAGATGCCTATTAAATATCCAAGGAAAGATGATGTGGAGAGTGGATTTATAATTTGGAACTTAGGAACAGGATGAATATGAGGAAGCTAGCAAAAGAAAATGAGATGGACAATGAATAGAAAGAGACCAAAAGAATCTGCTGCCCCAAATGCCAAGTGAAGAAAGGTTTTCCAAAAGGAAGCATTCAACACTATCTAATTCTGTTGAGAGACCAAACAAGATATGGGTATGAGAGACCAAAGGAATAAGTAACCCTTAAGTTAGTGTTGACCTCACAACAGTGATTGTGGTGGGATATGAGCAGGATAGCCAAACTGGAGTGGATTTAAGAGGGAAGCAGTGACATCACACAACTGTCACAAAGAATTTTCCAATAAAAAGGAAAAAACAAATGGTATGGTAGATAGCAGGAATGGAGGGGGTCAAAAAACCATTTTTAAATGAGACGTCTCACAGTATGCACTTTAAAGGGAATGATGCAGAGGAAAAGAGAAAGATGATGATGCAAGACAGAAGCAATAATTTACAAAGGCAGAGACTTTGAGAGTGTGGAAGGAAATGGAAGTGGTGACGGGTCTTGGGGTGAAGACCATACCATATGGTGTTACTCACCATAACAGGAAAGAAAAGAGAGTACGTGCACATAGCTGCTAGCAGGTTAATTTTTTAGTGGAAATATAAACTCTCTTCCCATTGCTTCTTATTTCACAGGGGAGAGAGAAACGATGGCTATTTAAGAGTGGGAGCAATTTAAAAATTACTCACATGCTTCACCGTTGAGATATCCAAGTAGATCTTTTCGGTCAGGTCTTCTAACCACAGGAATATTTTCAGTCTGAAATCAAAATTTTAAATTAGTTATCAAATCAATAACAATTACAAGAAATGTAATAAAGACAAATATAATGTAATGTCTGAACTTTATTCCAACATATCTTGATAACATTTAGAATCTTACCTTTAAAGAATAACTAAGCTAAACAATCTAAGTCTTCAAAAAATTTAAGCATATTAACTTTTAGTAACTTCATTATTGAAATTCAAGTAAGATACCTAAAAGATAACCATTAGAAACAATGACCCAGCCTCTTCAAAATACCAATTCCAGTCTTTTTTGTTCCTTTGGCTTAAATATTGTATGTTACTCATGATACTTTGCATATTTGAGGCAATTATATTTTTAGCCCCATTGCTTGCTCATTATATGCAATGTTTCCAAAGTGCTTTCTTTTCTCAAACACAAAACAGACTTCCTCAAAATATTCTATTTGAACTCTAAAATACACTAACATAGCCATAAAAACTAAATTTTCATAACAATAGGTATGTTGTTTAAGCATGGGGAAAAATTTAGGAGATTATACAGCAAAACACTAATGGCAGTTGCTTACTTTCCATGCTACACATTTCTTTTTGATCTCTAAGTTCACAAATTCTGTATGGAAAGGGAAAAGTTTAAAAAATTAAATCTGGAAAATGTATCTATTTTGGTAAAATGGGTAATTTTCCTTTATTCTCCTACATTAGCAGTTTGTAAAGAGGTATGCAAATAAAGCTGTATACTTTAGTCACCAGGTCATCTTCAGGTCATGAATTCAATGAATCCTGTAATTACCACAATTTTCCATATCATTTTTATAATGTAAACAAACAACTAAGTACAAGAAAGACTGGTGGCTGCAAGATTATTTAATTAAAATCCCTCTGTCACTTTATATACGCAACAATGAAATAACCAGAATCCTTACTACCTTTGGCTAATTGTGTACTAATTACATTTCACTTCAAACATTCTGTACATACTCCATGATGACAGAGATGAACTATATTTAATCATTCAAAATTAACTTCTTTTTAAAAGGGTATACTAAATTTTAATTTCTGCTAGGAGTATAAACATTTAAGAGCCCAAAGGTTTTTGTGTGCTTGTTTTTAAAAACTAGTCTACATAGAGTATCATAAATAGTTAAAAGATTTAAATTAATTTCCTTTAAGTTACTGTTTTTAAATCTGATAACATACCTCATTATTTGGTTAATAATGAATTATCGACATAATACAGCCAACTGAAGAAGATATATAGGAGCTATGGGTCCAGAAAACTTATTTCATACATGGTGTGGTCACAAGAAAGAGCAAGTAACACAGAAGAGGCAAAAACAAAATTTGTAGAACCCTAGAAATTTACAATTCTGCCCTTTCAATCTGTCAAGTATTTTAGAAAAACAAAAGACTTAAATCTTATGTGAGCAAGAGTCCTAAGGTCCATAGTAACAATTATAACCATCAGTTACATGTTACAACCACTTCCACTTCCCAGGAACCTATCACTGTATCTAAACCAAGCATCTGGATCATCTTTATTACCACAAAAGGAATGGATACAGCCAACAAAACATTCTAATTACTGCCTAATTCAGTTTTTAAAGATTTAAGATGAAATAACATAACTTTATAGAATGCTGTTATTTTTATTCCACTATTTCCCAAATCCTAAGTAGTTTCATCCTATATGTTATTTTTTTCTGTATGTATTAGATGCTGAATATTTATTTCCTATTCAGAAAAACAGAGTTCAAATACTGAGACAATGAAGGCAGGAAAAACTGAAATCAAATGAATTTATCAATAAAGTATAAAAAAGGTTTATTAAACTGACTAAAAGGTAATTCTAACTTTTTTCCTTTTTTTTTTTTTTTTAACATTTATTTTTGAGAGACAGAGACAGACAAAGCACAAGAAGAAGGGCAGAGAGAGAATGAGACAAAAATCTGAAGCAGGCTCCAGGCTCTGAGCTGTCAGCACACAGCCCAACACAGGGCTCAATCCCACGAACTGTGAGATCATGACGTGAGCCAGATGCTTAACCAATTGAGCCACCCAGATGCCCCTGATTAAAAAATAATTTTAGGGTTGTCTGTTAGGAGGATGTAGGTGGCTCAATCAGTTAAATGTAGACACTTGATTTTGGCTCAGGTATCTCACGGTTATGAGACTGAGCCACACAATCTGCGTGAAGCCTACTTGGGATTCTCTGTCTGCCTGTCTGTCTGTCTGTCTCTCTCTCTGCTCCTCCCCTGCACATTCACATGCATTCTCTTCCTCTAATAATAACAGTAATTATAATAACAATATGTTAACCTTGATTCTGATACCCAAAAAAAGGTTGTTTTTTAAAGTTTACTTATTTATTTTGAAAGAGAGGGAGAACGAGAGGGAGAAGGGCAGAGAGACAGAGAATCTGATACAGGCCCTGAGCTGTCAGCACAGAACCCCACAGGGGGCTTTAACCCACAAATCATGAAATCATGACCTGAGGCCGAAATCAAGTCAGACCCTTAACCAACAGAGCCACCCAGGTGCTCCCCAAAAACGTATTTTTGAGATCAGAGTTCTGAATATCAGGGTCCTTCTACAGACTTATACTTTTTTTTAAATACTCCTATAAATGTCTTCAAAACTTTTCTTGTAAATAGTGCCCACATTTTACATGAAAGTCACAGATCTAAAAATATGCATAAAATCACAGTGATCTAATTTTGAACTTCCAGTAGGCTGTCATACAGACAAGCCTTTTATTCTTTTGATTTGAAACCCATGGGAAGTGATCCATGCCACATAATACCTACTATCTGAAAAAAAAAATCATTTTATAATGAATTTTACTTACGGCAGCACGTCGGACATAAACAGGATGAGAAAGGTGAACATTATTAAGTAGAAACAAGATAGAATCCAATGTGTAGTACTCTCTGGGTTGGCCTTCCTTTCCAGTCCTGAAATAATTAAAATTTTTACTCAATTTTAATATAACTCCTTAGACTTAATTATATGTACGAATTTATCTATATTCACTTTGCTACCCAAGAATGGATTTAACATGGTTAACAATAATATATATAAAGTATGAAATCTAGTAAGTGGAACTGTCATTAAAGCAAAATGACACAAAGGCAGACAATGAAAAAAAGCAAGAAAGCAAGCACACTATATCCATACTCTAAGATACTGTACACTTTTTAGAATTTGACCCAAATTTCATTCTGGTCTTTGTTAATAGAAAAACCTAGTCAGTTACAGAGTGGAAAGGATCCACAAGAGAAAAGCTGATTAGAAGAAGCACAACTTTTAACTTACAAGAAATTCATCCTTTGTCTCCTAAATAAGATACTGGTACACAACATCCTTAACAACATTCTTACAGCAAATACAATAATAAATTTCAGAGATATAATTCTTATGACATCCCTCAGATTAAACCAATGATGTAAAAAGAAATCATAACGAATTCTACCTGTGGTAAAGCAATGCTTTTTCAAGGCGCTTTTTTAATGTTTGTTTGAGAAAGAGGGGGAGGGAGAACACAAGAGGGGAAGGGGCAGAAAGAGAATCCCAAGGAGGCTCTGTGCTGTCAGCTCGGAGCCTGGTGTGGGGCCCAGATTCACGAACTGTAAATCATGACCTGAGCCAACTCAAGAGTCGGTCCCTTACCGACTGGACTACCCAGGCACCCTAATACAGTCTAGAGGTTCAAGCTTTTTAATGAAACCACATAATACTATTAGCTCAACAACAGTTGTGTCCAATTTCACCCTTCTTACTATATTTTCATCTAAAACATGTCAGTGTATTATTTGAACTCATCTGAATACAGCCCAATATATTCAGCCCTAACTGACATCTCTCTAAGCCTTCATTTCCACTTTTCCTATGAATTGACATTATTTCAAACCATACACCACTACCAATTATTGTACTATGAAATGTAACATACAAGTAACCAAGTTTTTTTTTTAACAATACATAAAAGCAAAGTAATAGAACATACTACATGCCATAAGGATAAGTATTCTTTAAAGTAATGAAGTTAGACATATGTACATGTGCATAAAGATGAATAAATGAAAATATATTTATTGGTGCAATTCACTATTGTTAAAAATTTGAAATCTATTCTAAACATCCCCTTTTCACTACTAGCTTCACTGAACCACTATCAAAACATTTCCTTTCCAGCTCTTCTGCCTTTAAGCATACAGTTCCCTGTCCTTTAAGACCTAACCCATCATGTCACCTTCAAAGCTCCTAACCTACTCTTCAAAGCTTCTCATTTGTTCATGAAAAACTGGTAGCATGTCTACGTGCCAAACATACTTCTATGAAACCTTTCCTAATATCCCAAGCTAGAAGCGATTACTCTCATAAGAGTCAGAATGCAATTCTTCCCAAGTTATGTTTTATTTCATCTACTCTGATGAAGTTAACCTCCTCTGAGTCAGGAACCAAGCTGCTAAAAATTTTCTATTTCCCAAATAGAACCACCCTGTGGCGCCTGGGTGGCTCAGTCGGTTAAGTGTCTGACTTCGGTTCAGGTCATGATCTCACAGTTTGTGGGTTCGAGCCCCACGTCGGGCTCTGTGCTGACAGCTAGCTCAGAGCCTGGAGCCTGTTTCAGATTCTGTGTCTTTCTCTCTCTCTGACCCTCCCCTGCTCATGCTGTCTCTCTCTCAGAAATAAATAAAATGTTAAAAAAAAAAGATTCATTATTTAAAAAAAAAAAAGAAGAAATAAATAGAACCACCCTACATCCTGAGTACTCCTTAACCATTTTTTAAAGAAAAAAATAAACCCGTTAAAATTCCAATCAAAGATAATTCTGTCTGTGCAAAATTTTTTGACAGGCCAAAACCAAGAAACTCAGAATGATGTCACTGCATCAACATTTCATAAAGCTAATCAAAACACAAGCCCTCAAGGCCAAAAAACTGAAACCAACAAACTAAATTTTCCCTAGCTTTTCATCAACTTTTCAGAGCTCAGTGCTTTCACTGGATCAAGCAAAATGAGTATGAACGTTCTAGCCCAAGGTTCTAATTATCCAAATGAAACACCAATGAGAGATCACCTGTAAAAAGGCCCCCAAACCATTATCAGACCTATCTCTAGATAGTTTCCTTAATGCCTTCAATTCAAAAAAAACCCCGCGTGGATCAAACGTTCCAAAATATTTACCTTTAAGCCCATTTCCTAAGATCACACAACACCATCAATACCTTGCTTAGCTCCTGAAAGCTCGCTCCATTTTACCAATAACTTTCTCCCTGCAGAAATGCCTGGCCTCGCCTCCACCACGGGTTTTGAGGACTCTTCCAAAGTGACCAAATCTTTTTTCCGTTCTCAACTTCAGAGAATTGGTTCCCTTCTCTCTTCCTTGGAGAATTATGAAAGGAAAAAGAAACAGACCAGGAGCTTGCAAGGGGCAGCAGGGATAGTTACAACACATGGTAGCCTCGAAGAGAAAGAACAAACTAAAGAACACAAAAAGACATCTGCAGGACCGGGCGGTCCGTCTGTTTCTGCACCTACACACGTTGCCAACACTCGACACACACCGGTAAAAATGAACTAGGAAAGTCACAAACTCCTGTGGTACCTCTCCCCCTTGGTGTCCCAAAGACTTAAAAGAAATGGACCACTCGGGATGCACCTCCTCCGGTTCTCTCCTCACCTAAAAGTGTAACTTCTTTTTCTTGAGAAAAACTTTTACCCAGAGACCCGTTTTTTTCTCCATCCATCCCCAAAGGGAATCGGGGGGAGGGGTTAGGAAAGAGGTCGCCTGGAGGCGCCCAACTCTGCCCGGCCACCCCCAGGCCACAGCCAGGCCAGACTTACCCCCAAACTACATAGTTGGTCTTCACATTCTTGGGCCAGGAGAACTCGCCGAAGATCACTTCGTCTCCCTTCACCACAATCTCCTTCTTCTGGATGTTGTACTGTCGCAGGACGCTGAGCACGTCCGCCATCTTCCCCCCCCCTCGCCGTCGCCGCCGCTGCCGGCCCCGGGCGAAGCCGCCGCCGCCGCGCCTGCCTCCTTCTTCCCCTGTCGCCTCGCCCTCTTCCTCCGCCGCCGCCGCCGCCGCCGCCGCCGCCGCCGCGAACCAACAGCAGCCGCACTAGCAGCCGTCCTCGCCTACGACAGCAGCAGGGGCAGTAGACACTAGGCCGCCGAGGACCCCGCGCTATGAGGCAAGGCCCCGCCGCCGGCTGCCCGCGGAGAACGCCTGACTGCGCGCCTCCAGCGCCGTAAGGCCGCCGCCAGGGGGAGCCGCGACCGCCCAGGAACACGGCCCTCCCAGACTCCCACTCGGCTCGGGGCCGAATCCCGGCCCGGAACTCGGAGCGCTGGGATACCGCGCCCACGTACGGCGCACGTACGGGGAATACTGCCGGGCGCACGCGCGGACACGGCCTTCGGCCCTCGGCCCTCGCAGCGCGCACGCGGCTAGCGACAGGTGCGCGCGCACCTGCAGACAAACCCGGTAATTCTGCCCCTAGAACGCGCGCTGGGGGATCGCCCACCCACCTTGACTGCGGCCAAAGGCTCTCCAGTCGTTCCTGTGGGAAGAGTGGAGCTTGGCGAAGGGTTTCCAGAACCCTGGGATTACCTTCCCAACTAAATGGGACCCATTAAATGGCCTCTAGGTTTTAGTGATCCGATTAAGCACCTTTAGAAGGGTGAGGTTTTGGAGGCGGGGTTTGGTTTGGGGATTGTTTTTTGTTTTTTCTGTATTCAGGTAGTGATAAAAACCTAGTCCGGAGGAGACCAATCCCGGGTACCTGTATTTGTTAGCTGCGTTTGACCTTGGACAAGATGCCAATGCCTTCTCACGGCATTATTTGGTTCTTGGAGAAAAGGACTTAGTATGAGAATAAGATGAAAGAAAGCGTCTAGCAAATCTTCAAAATATCATAAATGTTGATCTTCCACTTCAGTTTCTTAGATGATGACTGTTTCCATTCTGGCCCCTTCTCCCTGCCATCCCCAAAGCGGTACGCTTAAAATCCTCTGTTCGAAAATTCTAATGAAAACTCAGAGAACGCGAATCAAGCTGTCAGAACACTTTGGGATTACTTGATTTTTTATTGGTACTCAGAACGCTAAAGGTGTCCTTGCTGTGCTGGAAACAATGAAATAAATTCAATATACTGTGGCCTATATACCTTAAACTGAACATATTCCGTGGGAACCATAATTTTTTTTTATTCCTTCTACTACCTCAGGGAAGGGGAGGCAACTTCTTGATTGACATCCAAATATCTTGATCTGCCTCGAAAGGGATCCATTTTCATTACGTTCACTACAGAGGGATATAGAAGTGTATGGTTCATTTCCTATACTATCTATAGCCATTTTCCAAAGGAATTTGAGAAATTTTGTCAATTCTCCAAATGTTCCATCCCTGTGGTAGATTCCTGAATCTCACCATAAAAACAGGCACTATGAAGCACTTACTACTCTAATCTCCCATACTGCTTTATTCATACTTGTATGAGAGTACCCAGTATTACTTGACAGCCCACATTAGTTTCCTTGCCTGTCTCCTCCTACAAAACTGAAGGGCAATAGGCCTGTGTCATCATATCCTAGTGTCTAGCACATTATTTGGCACATTATTGGCTCCTAGAAAATGTTAATAAATGGATAGGTGAGTTCAACAAACTCTGTATTTGATGGGTAGAAGAGTCAATGATAGTCTCTCAGATGACTCTTAATTTTATTTCATACACGGAACAAATCTTAGTCCATTCAGACTCCTATAAGAGAATACCATAGGCTGGGTGGCTTATAAACAACAGAAATTTCTTTCTTGTAGTTCTAGAGGCTAGGATATCCAAGGTCAAGATGCCAGAAGATTAATTGTCTGGTCAAAGCCTGCTTTCTGGTTCATAGACTTCAGACTTCACATTGCATACTCACATAGTGTAAAGAAAAAAGGAGCTTTCTGGAATCTTTTTTTACAACGTCCTAATCACCTTCCAGAGGCCTCATTCCTAACACCATAACCTTGGGGTTAGGATTTCAACATATGAAGGGGGATGGGTGGGTGACCACAAACATTCAATCTATAAAAATGACCAGTCATTCTTTTAGGAAAAAATGTGGTTCTGAGGATAGTAATTCTTCAACTCAATGTAATGAGATATGGCATTAGTAATTTGTTGCTTGTAACAGTTCAAGAAATGGGTGGATCATTTTGTTTTTACTTAAATCCTGTGGGATTACCCCACTAATATTGTTTCGGTAATATTGGTGCCAAATTACAATCAGTAAAAGACAAGATTAGTACTAGAGCTGAAAACTTACAAAATTAACTAGAGAAAAGTTGGAAAATCAGTCTTGTTTCTTGTCTTGGGCGAAAGCTACCACTTCTCCAGCCATCAGCTTCTGAAAAATTCCTAACAATTCTCAGTTTGAATTCTCCTGATAGAATAAACAGCTAGCAATCAGGAGAAAGTGGTAAATCTTTTTAGTTAAAAACCATGGATGAGGGATGATTATCTTAGAGTTTTGCTGCTATGTCTATTCTTAACAATACCCCATGAGATCCTTTCCATCAATGTCCAAGAACGGTTGTATTATGATACCTTTTCCAGATGACTAAATCTCCAGGTTTTAAATTAGGAAGGGTTTGTTTGAGTATTTTGGAAATGCAGCTTGAACTCTCTAGTGATAATTCTGGAGGGATCATAAATCACTTGTATTTATTTATGTTAGTCTCTAATGGATAGAATCTAAGATTAGAAGTAAATGTTTCAAGGGCATCTGAGTGGCTCAGTTGGTTAAGCGTCAACTCTTGATTTTGGCTCAACTTATGATCTCATGGTTGGTGGGATCAAACCCTACATCAGTCTCTGTGCTGACAGCTCGAAGCCTACTTGGAATTCTCTATCTCCCTCTCTCTGCCCCTCCTCAGCTTGCTCAACTCACTTTCTCAAATAAATAAATAAATATTAAGGAAGGAAGGAAGGAAGGAAGGAAATGGGGCACCTGGGTGGCTCAGTGGGTTAAGCGTCTGACTCTTGATTTCTGCTCAGGTCATGACCTCATGGTTTGTGAGGTCAAGCCCCACACTGGGCTCTGTGCTAACAGTGTGGAGTCTGCTTGAGATTCTCTCTCTCTCTCTCTCTCTCTCTCTCTCTCTTTCTCCCCTCTATGCTTTCTCTTTCTCTCTCTCAAAATAAATAAACATTTTTAAAAAAGCAGATGTTTCAAATGCAAGGGACAGGGGTAAATTATTAGATAATCTATGGGTTTCAAAGAGGGTAAATCTTACTGCCACCAAGATCAATGGCAAATTTAAGGCTATCAAAGTTAAAAACTTTCTGAGAGCTTTGCTGATTTTAATTTTAGGATTCCATTAATTCTTTTTAGTTTTCCTAAGGTTTGTGGAAGATAAAGATATGGAGCCATACTTTCTCAGCAAGGAAAAACCTCTGCCCAATCCCTAAGAGTGACCAAATAACCTGAATATATTCATAGCTTATTAGTAGAGAAATTTGTGTAAAATCCACTTTGCAATGTTCAAAGAGGCCTCAAGGCTTTGGCTTCTGTCCATTTCCTTTGTTTACAGTCTTGCGTGGATTATGTCCTTAACTGATAAGAGGCACATTGGAAACATTCTCAGCAATCTCTTTAAAATTACTCTGCTAACTTTGGTTCCATATTGTTGTTAGTTTCTCTCTGCTATGTTGTTTAGTGTCATGGGGCATTCCGGTTAAAATCCACCTTTTAAATTACCTTGTCTTTAGGTAATAGTAAAGCATCTAAATGTTTTTAACTTGTCCGTTTTTAAGGGTTACTGTAGAGGTTAGGGATTCTCTTTGTTTTCAAAGCATTCCAAGGTCATGGGATAATTTATGTATTATCACACTTGATATACACACACACACACATACATTCATGCTTGAAGATTAGTATTTTATTATGAAGAAGAGCACATAGTATTTAAGCTTATCATTATTGAGATTTAGAAAACACACACAAAATATATACATGTATACATATACATATGTATGCACACACATATATATACTTTTACCTTTATAAGGCAACCCACAACTGGATTAGTTGTGAGAGTACTATGTGAGGGAAACCAAGTGCATTTTACAGGAGGTTAGCAAACTACGTGAGAAACGTCGGGTGGTTTTGTCAATGGAAAAGTCTAAGCGACTTACAGAACGATTAGGTTTAATAGAGACCCTAGAACAATTAATTGAAGCTTTCCCATGTTTTACCACCATTTCTTACAGCTCTCAGACAAGATGAGTGTACTTTGGCTACTGGATCTAATGGAAGTCTGAAATAAGTAATAAACTTACAGAGTCAGTGCCCCAGTGCTATTTCAGACTCTTCATGAACAAAAAGAAAAAAGGATTTTTGAATCTAAGATCCTAGAAACAAAATATTTTGATAGGCTTCTTTTAACTTTAAAAGTATACGGTCATAGAAAAATACTTTCATTAACACATTTTATTTATGTATAATTAACCGAAGAAGATGAATCTCATTTTGTGTTGTCAGTTTTTTCCTAACTTTTATAAACAACAGTTTCTCATAATAATTTTTTAAAACTTGAAGAATTCTAGAATACCTAATTATGTTTATTGTCCTTTCAGGTAAAGGAGCAATTATTTTTGTTTCCTAATGGCCATTTTGGGAGACCTGATGAGAGTTTAGGCATTATTCTGAATCTGGGGCCTAAACTAAGAAAAAGAAAAATTAAGAATAGTTATTAGAGTATACAAGAATTTTCTAAGTGTCTAAAGACAACAGGGGTACCTAGGTGGCTCAGTCAGTTGAGTGTTCGACTCTTGGTTTCTGCTCAGATCATGATCCCATGGTTCGTGAGATTGAGCCCCACATCAGGCTCTGTGCTGACAGAAGCAATGGGCTTCCGTCTCTCTCTTCCTCTCTCTGCCCCTACCCCATCTGTTCTCTCTCTCTCTTTCTCCCCGCCTCTCTCTCTTTCTCTCAAAACAAATAAATTAATAAACATTAAAACAATGTATAATTTAAAAAATTCTCTCTCCCTCTGCCCCTCTTCCCTCACTAGTGCACTCTCTCTCTAAAATAAAAAATAATAATGATAAAGACAAGAAATATTTATAGGCAATATTGTAAAAACATAGCATTAGACAATAATGCTATTAGGAACAGAATTTTTCAAAATTAAGAATGAGTCTTTTCAGGGCAACTGGCTGGCTCAGTTGGAAGAGCATGCAACTCTTGACCTCTGGGTCATGAGTTCAAGGCCCACATTACGTATTGAAATTAGTTA